GATAACATTATATTCCACAATAAGGAAGTACATTCAGGTGTTAAACATTATTTACGGCAGTAGAATACATGCCACACACAATTAATAATTTTGTGTTCATTAAATTTCCCATATACATAATTTCTACAAGTGTATACATTATATAAAATTACAAAATCCAAAAACATAGCACTATTTACATATTATTGCACCACATTTATTGTAGTTATGCCAACCCAGCAGAGGTAGGATATTTTAGAATGCCACAGTACTAAAATTTGTACAAATTCGGTCCACACCATTAGCTGCATTAATAGGTAGGAATATTACCTAACCAGTACTGTGTTAAACAGTGCTGGTGTATTATTATTTATGTAGTGCTGACCCTAATTAGGGTGGGATTTATAAACCATTTATTATGTAATTATATTTTATTTCATATTTCTATGTTCATCTTTGAGTGTTACTTAAAGTGTCACTACCCATCCAAGGCAGATTTTGAAGAGCTAAGCTAAGGAACCCCTGTAGTGATACCAAAGTACTACTCAAATCTTAGTTGCTTATTATTAGGTTGGTAGCTAACCTCCAAATGAGGTAAATTACAATCAGCCTCAAGGAAATATCAGGTTGTTAATAACTATACCTGCTCTACATATATGAGCGAGTACCATAGCTGCACAAGTAGCTATTATAAGTGCTATAAGGCTCAAACTTACAGCCAGAATGGCTACTCTAGAAAAAACTAGAAGAACTTTAAGAGGTTTCAAAATCACTTATCAAGACTACTTGACAAATGTGACAACTGTTTAGGAACTGATTCAGTTGACATCTTCAGACTAAGAATTTCCACGAAGGTGGCTAGCCAAAAATATGACCAAGTAAAGGATACAATAGAGTCTTATAGGAACTTACTCCTTGTCAGTAATACTGACCCAGACGAATTGAGTATGATAGAATCTGACTTTACCGACTATGAAGATATAATTCAAGACAAATTAGATCACTATAACAAAGTGCTTGCGACACAAAATGTTCCTAATTTGTTTGAACGTTTTTATAGTAGACCTATATCCAAGCAAGCACCCAGCTCAGATGAAATACATGAGCTACCTCAAAATGAGGAGAATCCTCTAATCAATATTGATCCCCACACAGGATCAACAACTGAAGTTAAGCCTTCATTTTCTACAATCTCATCTAATACAACTTTACGTAATTATTCATTCCCAGAGTCTAATCAATTATCAGACAAATCATCTCAATATTCCCTGGATTCTGTGAATTCAATACATGAGGCTACTGAATTAAGGCTTCTTGCTTAGCCTCAGCATTAATTACAGCTTCAGCTTTATTTCCATTTTCTGGTTCAGATTCACTGGCTGTTGCAGCTTCACTTATTTCTCTCGGTTCTTGTGAGAAGCTGGTTAAGCAACACAAGTAATAGTCATAGTTACTCACACCAGCCTTCCAGAGCAAGTGCTAACAATGAGAAGACTGTTATAAACCTTGTACACCAATTACTAGATTTATCTCCACCAGAACAATCAGTTGACTCTTTACAAGCTTTTATTTTTCAGCTTGAGTCACTGTTAAATTCCTTCAGCAAGGAGGTGGATCACCCCACTGCTGAGTGGATGACTAAAATTATCATCCAGAGAAAATTGTCTGGCGAGGTACTCAATAAATTATATATATACCAGAATGGTAATGTCCTGTCAATGCAGGATATATTTGCAGGTTTGCGTAATATAATAAATGAATTAGCAAACCAGGCACTTAATGCCTCTTCTGAATGCACAGAAACTGTAACCCATATCAGTTTCCTTACCTGAAACTCCTAAAGTGACACTGTCATTAGCTAATAAGGTTATTAATAGTCAATGTAATAACAACAGGTCAAACACTGATTCATCAGTAAGACCTAAGAGCCCCATTAGTGTTCTTAAGAGTCCAATGAGTACTCCCAAGAGCCCAATAATTGCTCTTCAGAGCACAATAAGTACTCACAAGAAAATAAATAACAAGCTAATGCAAGCAGCAAAACCTTAACAACCTGCAGCTGCAGTTTCACCTAAAAAGGCAACCCCTAAACGAATTGTAGGATGGGGATTATGTTTGTTTTGTAATCAAAAACATTCTCTGTACAAATGTACTAATTACCCCTAATAGAGCCACACGAGTCAGATGACTCAAACAGTTACACAAATGTACTAGGTGTCTCAAATCACATAATGTTAACAGCTGTGACACCCCACTGAACACCTGCAATAGGTGTAGAAGGGGCAAACATCATGCTGCACTGTGCAAATTTGTCAACACAAATTATGTCAATCCTAGAATAGGAGGTAGAGAATCTACACTAGTACAGTGCTGTAAGGTGCGAGATGTGTACAGCGTAATTTCACAAGCATCTCAAGTGGATGCAACCTTGCCCACTGCCCAACTCCAAGTAAAGAACAAAGGAGTCAAGATCACCACTCTTGGATTATTTGATCAAGGATCGCAGAGAACTTTCATTACTCAGAAAGCGGCAGAGGCACTCAATTTACAACCAATCAGACAGGTAAAATTAAACCTGTCAGGGTTCATGATAAATCGAGGACCCCAAGAATACTCAGTAGTTCAACCGCTTGTACGTCTAGGTAGTCATGCCAAGGCTGTCCAAGCCATTGTTGTAGATCAAATACCTTTTGACCTAAATGTTAAGGGTCTAAGGTACACAGTCAATTTCCTGCAGGAACATGAAATTAATTTGGCTGACAACCAGTTAATGTCTGACCACCCAAATAATGTAAATGTACTAGTTGGAACAGACTACTGTTACCAGTTCATCACTGGACATGTTAAACGATTGGGCATGAATATGCTCCAATCTACAGGTGGCTGCTTACTGACAGGTAAACTTTTAAACGCGAAGAAGCCTATGCCTGCCAACAATAATAAATTACTCAGCAGTAAAATCCACTCTCCAGCAACAAGCTGAATGAGAAACCCAGCTGAGTAATAAACCCAGATTGAATGTAGTACAATTAGTATTCACCGAGATGTTTCATAGCTCTTAGTGGAAAGTCAGTGGTCCCTACCTAAACAGATACATGTCACAGCGACCAAGCCATTGAATCCACTGCAGACCTAGAATTATTCTCGACAAGTAGTAATTGACCACACTCAGCCTCCATAGGTAATCAATAATATTAGGCTAGAGAATCTAGCACTCCCTAGGTAATCAATAATATTAGGCTAGAGAACCTAGCACTCCCTAGGTAATCAATAATATTAGGCTAGAGAATCTAGCACTCCCTAGGTAATCAATAATATTAGGCTAGAGAACCTAGCACTCCCTAGGTAATCAATAATATTAGGCTAGAGAATCTAGCACTCCCTAGGTAATCAGTAATATTAGGCTAGATAATCTAGCACTCCCTAGGTAATCAATAATATTAGGCTAGAGAATCTAGCACCCAATGCATCCAGCATTCCTGAATTTAACAATACCCTGTAGTCATCAAGTAACTTTTACAGGTGTATGGAATTTTGAATCATGGAATTTTATTAGTTATTTTGATGAATTTTAATTGATAATTCAAAATTAATTTATTATTTATTTCTTACGATAGGTTAGCGGGCTGTATGTTTAATTGGGTGGACTTTTTGAATTTAAATTCTCCCACAAGTCAAGTCCCTACACAAGTTGGGGGTTATTAGTTGTAGCCTGTCAATCGAAAATTATCGATTGGTAGTAAGATTTATATTAATTGGTTAGTTGGTTAATATACATTGGTTAATTTGAATTCTTAATAGCCATATCTGATCTGATGGCTTCAATTTGAGTACTAGTGTGGTACACGTTGGTAATATTTTTTTATCTGTATTTAATAATATACAATATAAATCATATATACATCAATTTTACTAGGAAATACTACATTACATATACAGTAGTATAATTCTCAGTAAACAAGTGTTTCATATTGTCACAGAACATGAACTTTAAATCCCTAAATCTTATACTTATTTTCTTTAAATGATTTACACAATATAGAGTATCTCTAATCCAGTTTACAAGAACAACTTTCTACTTACAGAAATAAAACACATGCATATTATTCTCAATTTCAGTACATTGGTCACACCTATGGTTGTCCATAATGCCCAACATCAACAGCCTATCATTAGTAGGGAGGGTCTCATGAATATAGTGATACAATAGCTCACGTTGTTTTGGGGCAAAATATTTAACGTGATGGTTTGGCCATATTACTTGCCAGCTAAAGAGTGGATATGCCTCCTCTACTCTAGGAACTATATTACACGTGGGCAATCAGCCAGGTATGAGCCTCGTGGCTATGGCGTCCTCACGTGTTGCCACAGGCAGATGTCACCACTTTCTTCAGGTTGCTACAGAAAATCTGCCAGAAGGACACAATATAACTACTGCAAATAGCCTTCTAATGATAGATATGGCACATAAATTATTATGAGAGGCTTATCCTGATTTGGGTGTTCGCCTGCCTCATCAACAGTTGCATAGTATATAATATTAGAGAGCTCTGTAATTTTTTTGTTAAATATTTGACAATCAGAAACAAGGCATCAGAAGAACGTAAAGATTGCTAGGGTCATGAGAATGAACGTAGCTGCCTAGAGTGCTTCCTCACGAGAGATTTACTCCGTGACATCCCTCTCCTGCCCCGGGTCTAGTGACATCCCAGTAGCTGAACCAATGTTCTGGTCATATATGGAAGAATGTAAGGAGGCGTTGATTTTATTTATTATATTATTTGAACCAGTCACAGAGAACAAATTTTTATTGATTCCAATACTAGACAAAAGGTTTAGAGTAATAGATTTATATTGAATGTAGATATTTTAATGGCGTGGCAATATATCCTTGGTTTAATTAAAATTTCCACTGTAAACTCGTTTTCTTTGAGTCAGAGTAAAAATTTACATACTCTGACTACTTAAAATAGGTTCTTCATTTTAAAATTACTTACAAACTTCATGTTATTTACCCACAGGACAGTGTTCCTTCTACAAGTCAAAAGAGGAGTTCATGCCACTGATGTTTGCCTTGGTGAGCGAGAAGGGAAGTCCACTTGTATCACCACTTAATGACAGGTACTTTTTATATTGTGATTCATATATATATATATATATATATATATATATATATATATATATATATATATATAACTGAAAACTCACACCCCAGAAGTGACTCGAACCCATACTCCCAGGAGCAAACGCAACTGGTATGTACAAGACGCCTTAATCCACTTGACCATCACGACCGGACATAATGAGGTGATAGCCGAGGCTATTTGAACCACCCCACCGCCGGCACTCGGATAGTAATCTTGGGCATAGCATTTTACCAAATCACCTCATTCTTTGGGGCACACGTGAGGAACACAAATGCGAAAAAGCCTGAATGGTCCCCAGGACAATATGCAACTGAAAACTCACACCCCAGAAGTGACTCGAACCCATACTCCCAGGAGCAAACGCAACTGGTATGTACAAGACGCCTTAATCCACTTGACCATCACGACCGGACATAATGAGGTGATAGCCGAGGCTATTTGAACCACCCCACCGCCGGCACTCGGATAGTAATCTTGGGCATAGCATTTTACCAAATCACCTCATTCTTTGGGGCACACGTGAGGAACACAAATGCGAACAAGCCTGAATGGTCCCCAGGACAATATGCAACTGAAAACTCACACCCCAGAAGTGACTCGAACCCATACTCCCAGGAGCAAACGCAACTGGTATGTACAAGACGCCTTAATCCACTTGACCATCACGACCGGACATAATGAGGTGATAGCCGAGGCTATTTGAACCACCCCACCGCCGGCACTCGGATAGTAATCTTGGGCATAGCATTTTACCAAATCACCTCATTCTTTGGGGCACACGTGAGGAACACAAATGCGAACAAGCCTGAATGGTCCCCAGGACAATATGCAACTGAAAACTCACACCCCAGAAGTGACTCGAACCCATACTCCCAGGAGCAAACGCAACTGGTATGTACAAGACGCCTTAATCCACTTGACCATCACGACCGGACATAATGAGGTGATAGCCGAGGCTATTTGAACCACCCCACCGCCGGCACTCGGATAGTAATCTTGGGCATAGCATTTTACCAAATCACCTCATTCTTTGGGGCACACGTGAGGAACACAAATGCGAACAAGCCTGAATGGTCCCCAGGACAATATGCAACTGAAAACTCACACCCCAGAAGTGACTCGAACCCATACTCCCAGGAGCAAACGCAACTGGTATGTACAAGACGCCTTAATCCACTTGACCATCACGACCGGACATAATGAGGTGATAGCCGAGGCTATTTGAACCACCCCACCGCCGGCACTCGGATAGTAATCTTGGGCATAGCATTTTACCAAATCACCTCATTCTTTGGGGCACACGTGAGGAACACAAATGCGAACAAGCCTGAATGGTCCCCAGGACAATATGCAACTGAAAACTCATCAGCAACTCATCAGCAACATCAGAAAACTCAATATGCAACTGTCCTGGGGACCATTCAGGCTTGTTCGCATTTGTGTTCCTCACGTGTGCCCCAAAGAATGAGGTGATTTGGTAAAATGCTATGCCCAAGATTACTATCCGAGTGCCGGCGGTGGGGTGGTTCAAATAGCCTCGGCTATCACCTCATTATGTCCGGTCGTGATGGTCAAGTGGATTAAGGCGTCTTGTACATACCAGTTGCGTTTGCTCCTGGGAGTATGGGTTCGAGTCACTTCTTGGGTGTGAGTTTTCAGTTGCATATTGTCCTGGGGACCATTCAGGCTTGTTCGCATATATATATATATATATATATATATATATATATATATATATATATATAAATATATATATATATATTAGTATATTTTGGTAGCAGTCTTTCCTGTAGGTAGGAAAGGTACCTGTCTTTCTTTGGTAGCAGTCTTTCCTGTTTTATATTATTAAATATGACCGAAAAAGTAAGATTAATAATTCTAACACGAATTTTCTCGATCTTTCTTACGTTTCTTTTCACTGTTGATGGTAATTCAAAGATCAATTCTCCAAAATTAATTTTTATTTCTAGTCTGACGCGACACTTGAGCGCGTTTCGTAAAACTTATTACATTTTCAAAGACTTTAGTTTACACACACACAACTTTAACTGAATAGAGCTTAAACTTCTTTTCGAGTTTTTATACCTACATTTGGGTGAAGTGACATGTTACAATAGTTTTGGATGTGGAGAAAATAAACTTTTAACACAAGACAGAACACGAAACAATGAAATACACACAGGTATTAAAAGTAGGTAACTGCAGAAGGCCTATTTTTATTGGCCCATATTTCTTGATGCTTCTATATTTGTGCAGAGTCTTGAAGTGGGTAAATATATTTGTGCATTAATTGGCTGTTGATTGCTGGTGTTGACTTCTTAATGTGTAGTGCCTCGCAGATATCAAGCCGCCTGCTATCGCTGTATCTATCGATGATTTCTGTGTTTTTTGTTAAGACTTCTCTGGTGATGATCTGGTTGTGGGAAGAGATTATATGTTCCTTAATGGAGCCCTGTTGCTTATGCATCGTTAATCGCCTGGAAAGAGATGTTGTTGTCTTGCCTATATACTGAGTTCTTTGAGGCTTACAGTCCCCAAGTGGGCATTTGAAGGCATAGACGACATTGGTCTCTTTCAAAGCGTTCTGCTTTGTGTCTGGAGAGTTTCTCATGAGTAGGTTGGCAGTTTTCTTCGTTTTATAGTAAATCACCAATTGTTTCTTCTGATTTTTGTCTGTAGGGATAACGTTTCTATTAACAATATCTTTCAGGACCCTTTCCTCCGTTTTATGAGCTGTGGAAAAGAAGTTCCTGTAAAATTGTCTAATAGGGAGTACAGGTGTTGTGTTAGTTGTCTCTTCAGAGGTTGCATGGCTTTTCACCTTCCTTCTTATGATGTCTTCAACGAAACCATTGGAGAAGCCGTTGTTGACTAGGACCTGCTTTACCCTACAGAGTTCTTCATCGACTTGCTTCCATCCTGAGCTGTGGCTGAGAGCATGGTCGACATAAGCGTTAACAACACTCCTCTTGTACCTGTCTGGGCAGTCACTGTTGGCATTGAAGCACATTCCTATGTTTGTTTCCTTAGTGTAGACTGAAGTGTGGAAAACTCCGCTCCTTTCCATGACTGTTACATCTAGAAAGGGCAGCTTTCCATCCTTCTCCATCTCGTAAGTGAAACTCAACACAGAACTCCACTCAAATGCCTCCTTCAGCTCCTGCAGATGTCTGACATCAGGTACCTGTGTAAAAATGTTGTCAACATACCTGCAGTATAAAAAAAAAAAAAAAAAAAAAAGGAATCATCGATAGATACAGCGATAGCAGGTGGCTTGATATCTGCGAGGCACTACACATTAAGAAGTCAACACCAGCAATCAACAGCCAATTAATGCACAACTATATTCTACCCACTTCAAGACTCTGCACCAATATAGAAGCATCAAGAAATATGGGCCAATAGGCCCTTTGCATTTACTTCCATTCTTCCCTTTAACTTTCCCAATATTATACCCATTGTATAAAGTTCTGTCTTGTTATATATATATATATATATATATATATATATATATATATATATATATATATATATATATATATATATATATATATATTGTGACAATAATCTCCTTCAAGAGATTGAGCCTGCTCTTCCCTCCACAATTACGTCGTTACAACTATATAAAACTACTATGGAAGAAATGTCCAACAACGACAACAACACCAGCAAGGTTTGCCAGAGAGCAAAACGTATGCAGCCAGGAACACCTGCTCAGACTCAAACCGCCAAACTACCTGTCTTGCTGCCGGCTCCTCGCTGATTGGTCGCCGGTCTGGCTGCAACTGCACTCCCCCCCCATACTACTTGATGTCTGGGGCCGCCACGACCTCAGTCCTCAGAATATTCCGTGCTTTTCACAGTTAACACTTCTCCCTGCTAGACGTAAGCTTTGGCGTACGTGTACTGAGAGAGGTGATAGCTTAAAGCCAATATTCCAGCACCTTTCATTTACTTGTATATTGCACTTCTTGTTATTTTGCTTTGTCTTAACGTAACTTTTCATTGTGTCATTTAATTATTCTTATTATTTTGATTGATTGATTTTATTATACGAATTTGTTTGTCCATTTTATTCATGTTTTATTTATTTAACGTAATTAAAATTTCATTGTTAAAATTTACTTGTGTTTTGTGTGTCTTCTCCTTACCTTACCACAGACGAAGTTCCAGATTTTCTATTTTTTTTTAATACTATGTGACGAGGCCATACCCCTAGCTTTGAACAGCCGAACACCAACGCGTTACCGTCACATATTATATGGGGGCCTGTCCTAGGAGCTTCACTCAGGTACTGGTGCCAAGTGGTAATTTATGGTAAGCGTATTTAACTTTGTTAACGTAGCTTTACTATTTTTCATATTCAATTTCATTTTTTATAAGGTGCGGTGTATTGTGCATTACGAGAGTAACATATAGTGAAGGTGAGACAACTTTGGATTACGTGGTGACTGTAGGCCGCAGTCATACTCTTAATTGGTCATCTCTCCCTCCGTGTTATTACTCGTGTTTACCATCTTTGTCCCTTGGATATTTCTCATTTTTGACAGATCATCATATTGGTACCCTGGTACTGTGGTCTGCCCCGGGTCAAGAGTACCCAATCTTCTGCAATCTGACTGTAGGAGGACAAAGAGGGCCATAGTTCCTCTAGCTCGAACTTTAGTTGCTGAATTGGGACCTCAGCAGCAGTTCTCGTCACCAGTTGACACCTCGCACCCCTACACGTCAGTCAGAGATGATGATACATACAACGGTAGGGAATTAGCTTACTTTTTCAGAGCACAAAAGTTCGCTAATTCTGTAAGTATCATATTAAATTCAGTAGGAAAAACTTGCTTTATGTCCTATAGAGACTTGGCAAGGTATGCCTACATCCTTGGACTACCAATTTTACTTTTGAGGCAATTAACTGTTTCATTTGTTTTCGAAACTCTGTTTCATTTGTTAGTAGGATTTTCTTGCCCTTATCCT